AGATAATGAAGAAGAGAAAAGGAGACACGGTGAAGAGCAGAGCCAGAAAACACAAAATGACAATTTGGTATGTAGTGATTCTGAAGAAGAGAACGTTGGAGAAGATGAAGATGAATACGACTGAGAAGCGACAGGCAAAGTTCCTAAACTTTTTGCGAATTCTAATTACAATCAACCCTTTGGACCGAAAAGAATTATAGATAATTATTGTAGTCCTATTGATTACTTCACCCTCTTTTTTCCAGTTTTCTTATGCGACTCATTATCGAGAAAACTGAACTATATGCTTCTCAAAGAAATCAAACTATTTCACTTGACTTGCCTGAATTGAAGGCCTTCCTGGGCCTACTAGTATATATGGGATTCCACTAGCTACCTAGTATTAGATTATACTGGTCCACGGATGAAAATTTTCACTGCGATAGAATTGCACGAATTGATGTCACTAAAAAGATTCCTAAAACTACTACGACTACTGCATTTAGCAGACAACTCAAATATGCCGAAACGCTCTGATCCTAACTATGATAAATTATACAAAGTTCGTCCGCTTCTAAATATATTGTCCAAAGAATTCCCCAAACACTTTACGCCGTCGCGCTACATATCATTCGATGAAAGTATGGTCGCTTTCAAAGGACGGTCATCGATGAAACAATATATGCCGCTAAAACCTATAAAGCGAGGCTTCAAAATATGGCTAATGTGCTGTGCCGTTACTGGCTATATTGTGGCATTCGTTGTTTATATCGGTAAGGACGAAAAGCGACCTGCAGAGATGAATTTGGGCGAATATGTGGTCTATAAACTTAGCGCTGCTCTGGAAGGTTTCTATTATTGTCTTTTCTTTGACAATTTTCTCACGTCGATACTTCTGCTAAAGCGACTGCTAGCTAAGAAATTATTCGGCTGCGGACCAATTAGGCAAAACAGAAAATATTTACCAGAAGCTATGAAGAAAGTGAAGTTGGATGCAGGAGAATTCACCTCAGTTCAGGCAGATGGTTTTAGTATTTCACAGTGCAGAGATCGAGGTAAGAAACCTGTTTGTGTCGCCAGTACCATGCACAACTCAGGTAAGACGACAAAAGTTAGAAGAACAACTAAAACTGGAGAGAAACGAGAACTGACCTGTCCTAAATCTATTTCCGATTATTATGCTTATATTGGTGGAGTTGATCGCTTGGATCAACCAGGGTTGCCAGATTGGGCGACTTATCGCAAATTGGGCTACTTTAAAAATAATTTTGGGACATATTTTACCTTTCTGCGACTAGTCGCAGATTGGGCGATTCTCAAAATTTTTCTGAGATTTTTGGGCTAGGAAAAGGAAATATACTTTAGGTTGGTTTCTCCTTCGAAAGTTGAAATGGTCCATTGTTGCTTGGGACAACGGCATGATTGGCCAAACATGCCAAACAAAGTACAAACTTCAACACCGAGACCTGCCGAGACGTATGTCGATGAATGACGCGGAAATTCCACGCCGGCGCCGGTTCGAGGTTCTAGGCCGGATGAGATCGGATATCTCGTGAATAAGAGTCACCGAGGACCGCAGTTCGGATTCCGCGTAAACGAAGTAGGCCGTAAGACCCGTCCAGATTAGCCCTGGTAGCAAAAAGGAGACGTTAATAGACACAGTTCGCAACAAGCAGGTTCGTTATAAGCAAACATTACTGTACCTATTAGAATAATTTGTATGAGGTTGTTAGTGAGAATTGGAAAATGCCTTACCAAAGTTAGTAACTCTGGCTTGTTGGACTATGTTAATTTTACACATATTTTTTTGTGTAGGGCAGTTGAGCCATGCTTTAATAAATCACTCTTATGTGCCCTTAGGAGTGAACAGCAAACCACACAATAAGCTTCCTTCCCCACAACATCACCATTACTTTTAAAGCCATCCTTGAGAATAACACCACCAATAATTAACATGCTTCATGCGACATAATAATATCGACAATTATTGAGAATTACCTTTGAAATTTGGTAGCGTTTCCCACGAGCTCTTATACTTTGTTTCATATGCTGCCCATTTCCCCATTGTACAATACAAACACAATCACGAAAAATAAATTCGATTATTCTTTATTATTTATTTTATTATTCTCAAAACTAAAAGTAATTGTTGTCTCTGCTCTTATCTTAAGTAAGTTGTAAGTTAAGATTTCAAATATAACGAACCATTTTTGTCAATCCCTTGTGGTTCATTATAAGCGGACATTAGGTACTGTACATTTATGTAGGTAATATTTTTATCATGATAATATGGATTTATTTAATAAAATAATTCTTCTATTTTTTATGATTTTTAGTTGTCCACACGCAGCTTTCAAAAGAGGAAAAAAATAGGGACCTAAGATTAGCAGCCCACGTAGCTGTTCATAGTTCAATACAAACTATTGATCATCTAGGGGAATTGTTATCAGACCTTGCCAAAAGGAGCCCATTGGAGAATTTGAAATTACATAGGACTAAGTGTTCAAAACTCATCCTTAAAGTTATCTCTCCTGCAATTCTTGGAGAAATAATAAAGGATATTGGGGACAGTGGCTATTCCATCATTCTTGATGAGTCAACTGACGTTTAAGTTGTGAAATACATGGCTTTTTGTGTTAGATACCTATAGATTTACATAGTAAAAATCAAAAAAATGTGATAACAGATTTTTTGGGGATTGTTGAGGTGACCAGAACCACTGCCCAAGACTTATATAAATGTACAAAGGAATTTTTAATGGAAGTTGGCTTTTAAGCTTTTAAGTTAATAAACTTATTGGTAGGTATACTTACATATTTTCAAGACAAACCCCCTAGTATATTTTACGGAATACCTACCACTTATATTAGTTGATATGTTGAAGTATTTATTTTATAACATCTTTCTGTTTTTTTAGGTATTGGAACAGATGGAGCAAGTCAAATCTATCTATGTGGGAAAAATAATTCTTTGTATACTCTGTTGAAGGAAGATGTTCTTACATTACAATTGATACCCATCATCTGCCACTCACTTCATTTGTGTAGCTCAAAAGCTGCCACTGAACTGCCCTCGTCAATTGAATTTTTATTACAACAGACAAGATCCTGGTTTTCATGCAGTCCTCTCCGTCAAGACGAATATGCAACCTTGTTTAAAACAATGAATGATGGAGGAAAATAATTTCCTTAAGTTGGTACAAATGTCAAAAACCCGATGGCTTGCATTTTCAGCTGCTGTTGAAAAGGTTTTAGAGAATGGGTTGAATTAAAGACCTATTTTTCTCTTGTAACTGGGGGGGGGGGAGATAAGAACTACATGGCCAAAACCTTAAGCTGTATGTACAATGATGACACCAATTTATTATATCTGATTTTCCTAAAGCCAGTTTTGAAGGAAATTGTGAGGGTAAACCTCATTTTTCAAAAAGAAAATCCCGGGGTAACAAAATCATTTGAAGAGTTGCGTTTTATTAATGCTAAATGCTCGAAAAATAATCAAGCCTTTTTTTTGAACTCTGAAAACTGCCAACTAAGAAGTGATGTGCAAATGGTAGCAGCAGCTCTTGAAAATCCGTTGGCTTTTTTATCAACCGAGAATGTGGACTTTGTAATAAAATTTCATTTATACTTACAAAAAAAACCCTTTCCACAGAACAGATGAATACTCTGCGCTATTGCTGCAATCAGTTTCTCATAAAACTCTGTAGGGAACTAGTTGATATAGATTGCCCAAAAATTTCACCTTACTGGAATCTGTGAAACATTTTGATCCAAAATCATGCACAGCAAGTCATTTACAGCCACCTTTTAAAGACCTTCCATTATCCTTTCTAACCAGTAGTAATAATATGGATATGATAGAAGAACAATGGCTCAAAATACCATTAATAAAATTGATTTGAAAATGAAGAGATAAACCAAAATTCATGCCTATTTTGGGCTAAAGTTTATTCCTACACTGATGCTGGTGGGTCATTTTGTTTCAAGGAGATAGCCGAATTCGTATTAAACGTACTTTCTCTCCCCTACAGCAGTGCTGTAGTAGAAAGGGTTTTCTCAGTAATGAATGCCGTCAAAACCAAGGCCAGAAATCGGATGCAGTTAAAGATGTTTTTCTGCTATTTTACGAGTGAGGATTCATCTTGGAGTACAAAATATTTGTTGTACCAAATTTCAACCAACGGATGAAATGAGACGCTTATTTAATGCCAGCATCCTTTATTCTAAGTCAGCGACGGTTACTGATGACGATGACACATGTAGATCATCTGAAGAAAATGAAGAAGCTATCTAGGAGGTTTAAAAATATTATTTTGGACTAGATTGATTAATAAAATCTTATTTGTATTTGTTGTATTATACAGGGTGTTCCTTAATATCATGTACAAACGAAAAGGGGTGTTTTTTGGCTAGTGCTAACTTAGCTTCTTGCATCTTGTCATAATAAAATAGCACTTCAAATTTTCCTAAAACCAATAAAGGATCTGTCGAGATATTATTAGAAAAAAAATTTTAGGTAGGTACGACCCTGTATTAAAACCAAACGTTTGCAGATCCATGTTTATATGAAACTTTATCCATAAAATATGTCAAAGAGCCAAAGAATCACCCCCTTTCGTTTGTACGTGATATTAACTAACTTAACCTTCTTTTTCCTTTTAGCCCACTTTTCAAAAAACAGGTTTTTACTGCTTTTGGGAAAATCTGCGACTTTGAGCTATCTTAACAGCTGCCTTTTAATAAAGCCACAAGAAAAAACGATAAAAGAGATGTCATGTATTTTTGATCTGCGATTTTGGGCTATTTTGAAGATTTGGCAAAATTTGCGACATTGGGCTATCTCAAACTTTTGAGTTCTGCGACACGCGTCAAATTTCATCTGGCAACCCTGGGATCAACTACTCGCAACAGATTTTTTTTTTTAGAATTTTTAGAATGAGTGGGAGGGGGGTTAATCACTTCGACCTTACAGATCCATTGTGTCCCCCTTTCTTGAATCATAACTCATCATACAGTCCCAAGGCTTTGACTAAAGCCAGTATCTGGGACAGTTTTATAAAGGGTAGTTCTCCATCTCCAATATCAGTCGTACCAAAATTTATGGCACGAATGGTTGTCGTCTCGGCGCACTCCAGTGATTAGAGGTGTACTGAGTGTTTCCACTGTCTACAGAATCTGCATTCGCCGTTTCTTCTTGAATTTCAATCTACTTAGGTGTTCATTGAGACAGTGTCTGTTAAAAACCCCGTGACAATCCGAAGATTGATTTCTTACTCTCCAGACAGGAAGATCCTGTGATTTTCTTGATCAGCAACCCTCAAACTTCTTCAGTGTCCTAGACCATTACCGGATTTCCATTCCAGGTTGCGGATGGAAAAGTTCTTGAGTTCCGCCTTGAGTTGGATTTACCACTTGAAGCAGAACGGTTCTGGTCCAGTTAATTGAGTGTTCACCGCTCCTTTTCTAAGCTAGATTATTTGCTTTTCATTTGCCTTCTATCCCTTGGTGATCAGGCACCCAGTGTAGGATGACTTTGTTTTCTTTACCTAATTTATTCAGCTTCTCCTGCCATTCTTTGATAATTTCAGATTGATTGATACTGGAGTTGATCATAGCGCTGCTTGACTATCAGATAAGATGGCTATTTCTTGCTTCCGATAGTTCCTATCTAAGATAGAAGTTGTACGCATCCCTCGATAGCGTAGATTTCTGCCTATGGAATACTGGGTAGGGTGCCCATTGGTTCGGAGTAATTAGCTCTCGGCCCAAACACTCCGATCACTGTTCCCGTATTGGTTTGGAAGCATCAGTATACAAGTTATGGTATGGTCTTTTTAACTGCTGGGCAAGCGTTTCGCTCTTCCAATCCTTCTTATTGCTTATACTACATTGACATGTTTGTCAAAGTTGTACGTTCTTGGCATATCGTCCACTGGGAGTTGCAGGAGTGGTATTTCCTTTTGAGGGTGTTCCAAGACCCTGATCTAACAATTCTCCCAGTACTAATTCCGTTGGTGACCATTTCAATCATTTGTCGCATTGGCATATCTGCCAATGACAATGTGCAGTGGTGTTAGGTCTAGAATGACCTCTCCATTGGACAGGTTCTCATGACCTCCTGTGATGGAAACACATGCTAGTCTCTGGACTTTGCATAGGTTTAGCCTTGCCGTCCGATGCTCTAGTTTTTTGTACCAGGCAACTGCTCCATAAGTAATCATGGGTCTTACTATCATGGTATACATCCAGCGCAAAATGTTGGGGGGCAGCCCCATCTATTTCCGGCCAGTCTTCTGCATATCATGAGAGCCTTTATTGCTTTGCTGGTAGTGTTCTTAATATGCATGTTCCACATGAGTTTACTGTCCAGGGTTATTCCTAGGTATTTGACTTCCTGTGTTGGCAGTATTTCCTTTCCATCTAGTTGGATTTTTTTCAAGGTTTTCAGACTTCGCCTTCTGGTGAATGGCACTATCGCGTTTTTGTCTGAGTTGATACTCAGCCCGACAGTCCTACACCATCTCTCAGTGATACGGAGTCCTCTTTGGATAATATCACACAAGGTGCCTTCATGTTTCCCCCGAGCGATCATGACTATGTCATCTGCATACCCAATGCAGTGTATTACTCGCAACAGATAGTGTAGCTCAAAAATCCAGAAGATGGTGGCTAAAGATTTTTTATTATTTTTTGGACTGTTCTATTGTAAATGGTTATACAAATACCAAAGAAAAAAGGAGCGATCTTTTGTGTGAAAAATGTAACGTAGCGTTATGTAAAGATTGTTTTGCAAAATTCCACAACAAGTAGTACATTAGTAATACCTGAAATACCTTGTATCGTGACTTATAGCCACTCGGATGGCCATTAGTAGATCACAATATTTTACTTATGGCCACCAAAAATAAAAACGATCTAACGGATACAAATTTCTCTTTCTTTCAGGCAAGATGGCAAAAACACCTAAGAAAAAGAAATTTCAATATTCACCATTTAAAATGCAGCAAGCTTTGGAAGCCGTAAACAATGGAATGCCTGTTTTGAAGACTAGTAAAGAATTTAAGGTTTAACTAAAAATATCTCGCTGAATGTGGGATTTTAATTTAGCGCCTTAAAATTGTTTTAAATTTTTAGGAGATATTTTATAATGACAGCTTAAGAACCCCAAGTGGCTACCTGGCATGGAGGCTCCGAACCGTTGCAAGATCCAATATGGTGCCAAGCTCCAAACGAAAGTTACTACAAAAGTACATCTGATAGTGATGACTCCAATGAACCAACCTTAAAAAAGCCAAAACATTGACAGAACAAGAAGTAGCAGACATAGAATTTTTAAAAATGCTTACTACGAAGACGCAGAAAAAAGTGATGGAAAAATGAAAAACCTTTTAACTGTAGAAAAACAGATGACTTTTCATTTGTCGATTTTTGGACGCCAGGAATTTTTAAGATTGAATTAAGATTTCAGCTTGCTATATCCTGCTAAAGCCAATAACTTTGTGGCGAAGTTTTAAAATAAGGAGCCGTA